GGATGTGGTTCTTCCTCAGTTGTAGGATCATCTGGATGTGGTTCCCCAGTTGTAGGATCATCTGGATGTGGTTCTTCCTCAGTTGTAGGATCATCTGGATGTGGTTCCTCAGTTGTAGGATCATCTGGATGTGGTTCCCCAGTTGTAGGATCATCTGGATGTGGTTCCTCAGTTGTAGGATCATCTGGATGTGGTTCCTCAGTTGTAGGATCATCTGGATGTGGTTCTTCCTCAGTTGTAGGATCATCTGGATGTGGTTCCTCAGTTGTAGGATCATCTGGATGTGGTTCTTCCTCAGTTGTAGGATCATCTGGATGTGGTTCTTCCTCAGTTGTAGGATCATCTGGATGTGGTTCTTCCTCAGTTGTAGGATCATCTGGATGTGGTTCCTCAGTTGTAGGATCATCTGGATGTGGTTCCTTAGTTGTAGGATCATCTGGATGTGGTTCCTCAGTTGTAGGATCATCTGGATGTGGTTCTTCCTCAGTTGTAGGATCATCTGGATGTGGTTCCTCAGTTGTAGGATCATCTGGATGTGGTTCCTCAGTTGTAGGATCATCTGGATGTGGTTCCTTAGTTGTAGGATCATCTGGGTGTGGTTCCTCAGTTGTAGGATCATCTGGATGTGGTTCCTTAGTTGTAGGATCATCTGGGTGTGGTTCCCCAGTTGTAGGATCATCTGGATGTGGTTCCTCAGTTGTAGGATCATCTGGATGTGGTTCCCCAGTTGTAGGATCATCTGGATGTGGTTCTTCCTCAGTTGTAGGATCATCTGGATGTGGTTCCTCAGTTGTAGGATCATCTGGATGTGGTTCCTCAGTTGTAGGATCATCTGGATGTGGTTCCTTAGTTGTAGGATCATCTGGGTGTGGTGCCTCAGTTGTAGGATCATCTGGATGTGGTTCCTTAGTTGTAGGATCATCTGGATGTGGTTCCTCAGTTGTAGGATCATCTGGATGTGGTTCCTCAGTTGTAGGATCATCTGGGTGTGGTTCCTCAGTTGTAGGATCATCTGGATGTGGTTCCTCAGTTGTAGGATCATCTGGATGTGGTTCCTCAGTTGTAGGATCATCTGGATGTGGTTCCCCAGTTGTAGGATCATCTGGATGTGGTTCCTCAGTTGTAGGATCATCTGGATGTGGTTCCTCAGTTGTAGGATCATCTGGATTAGGTTCGAATCCGAGATCCGCACAGATTGTGATCCTTGGGATCCGGTGCCATTTTCAGCTTTCCTCCCACATTAAGTTGACACCCCAGTTGATACTGTTGAAAGCGCATCTCACTCACACACACTTTCTGGTCAAAGCCCGAAACAATTCATGACTGATGTAAGTGTATCCAAACCTTTGAACTTTGCGTGTATTCTGCTCGTTTTTTCACATCAGAAATAACCTTTACAATAAATAGTATTGGCGATCACTTCGCTTGGATAATATAGCACTGAGATGCACGCGTGCAGACATTGTAGGCCTGTCTGGATATTCCCCCTGCAGCAGCCAGTCAGTCAGCTGATCACCATCTCTCACGCTACAGGTGCCCCGCTCCTCTCCCAAACCCTCCCCCAACTCGTCTGGAACGCTAGACCATAACGGTTGTCACGTGACACATCTCAACGACAACAGCGTTTACGTTTTAAATTCTTACGCATGCGTGGATCGAAATTGATGAAGACACTAGCAGCTGTTGAGGCAATTTGTTATATAGATAATTTATTGAACGTTTGCCAAAGTGATAGGCGTGTCCTTACCAGACACCGCCACAGAGGCAGACTAGGACGCCAGTACTACTCTGCAGTGCTGATCTAGACACACAAACACGTGTTTAAAAAGTTTAATATATCATCTGGCTTTTGTTAACGGGTCTTTTCAAGATTGCTAAATAGATAACGATATCGGTGTCTACAGATTTACTGGTGCGAGTATTGTATATCGATCGTGCTCTTTTTCGTTTAAACGATGCTTCGCTAAAACGGTTTTAAACAAAAAGGAATGTATTAATTGAGCAAAGGTTTAACGAAGCATACTTTTTTTACTCTACTGACAAACCGCAAAGTGTTCACGAAAGTGCATGTGATATATTATTGCACTTTTATAATGCTGGTTAAATCATGCACGACCGCGTCATGGGGTTTGTACGACAGCGACAAGTGCCCTGGCACCTGTTCAAACGTGCCATCTGTTTGCGTTAAAACAGACACATGTATCTTATTCGCCATGTCAGGTTGATGGGGTAGCTCACATGAACAAATAGTCTCATTTATACGTCAAATACAACCTGCCGCATCGGCTCCGAGGACATATAGCAAACATGTCGTGTCCCTACATAGCAGCTAGTCGTATATACCTCTCTTAGTCGTTCACAGGAACCTGGAAATGTCTATTTTTAAGGAATCTATAAAAAGAATGTAAATGTGACATAGCTGCGTCTTTTCTATAGATGACAGAAATGTGGAATGAATTGTCCAGTTACAACAGAAAGCTACATTTATTCTACAGATCGCGAAAGAATCATCAATGTCCTTATGTTCCCTTGTTGACGACAGAATACTCATGATATTCTATTGTTGACGACAGAATACTCCTTATATTCTATTGTTGAGGACGACAGTATGCTCCTTATTTTCTATTGTTGACGACAGAATGCTCTTTATATTCTATTGATGACGACAGTATGCTCTTTTATATTCTTGGGGCACGGGTGGCCCAGTCGTCTAAGGCGACGCGATTCGCTGTGCAGAATTGCGTCCCTTGGGCACGCCAGAAACCTATGATTGTGGGTTCGAATCCCGGTTTGCCCCGATTATGTTTTTAGTTTTGTCAGCACCATACCCGTGCTCGTGGGTTTCACCGAAGTGGTAAACGTCTAAGACCTGCATCACTTCGGGCTTTCCTCGCACATTAAGCTGACACGCCGCGATATAACTGGAATACTGTTAAAAGCGGCGTTTAACCAAACTCAATCACTCACTCACTCCTTTATATTCTATTGTTGACGACGGTATGCTCCTTATATTCTATAGATGACGATAAAATACTCCTTTTATTCTATTGTTGACGACAGTATTCTCCTTATATTCTATTGTTGACAACAGAATACTCCTTATATTCTTTAGTTGATTTTATTGATAAAGACACATGTATCCTTCCAATGATTACAGAATGCTCGATATCCATTACAGTTGGCGACCGAATTGTTCGTGAAATATATAGATGAGGGGCTGTGGGGTAGCCTAGCAGATAACGCGTTGGCTCGTCTCGCCGAACCCCGTTCGATTCTCTACATGGGTGTAAAAGTCAGTAGTATGTAGATATCTACAGACAACTCGGTGTATTAGATAGATGACATTATATGATATAGATAAGTATTGCACGTTCTATCAAGTACTGTTGTGTTATTCTTCAGAGGTATCTTACATGTTGTGATGTCGGGAGACAAGTTATTAATAATAATGAGATGTCGAGGTCTCCGTCACTGTCTGTGTCTTCCCATTACAAATGCTCTTAACTTCATTCACACAGTAAATGTCACCAAACGCTCTGCTTGTCAGAGAACATGAGAGAACGTCTCCCATGTCACCATAGCCTAGACTTGTGTCAGACACTGAGATTGTTTTGACTTACTGGTACTACGAAAGTGACGTCTGCACATTGCGATGCAGCTCCTGTCTCTAGCATTGTCACAGTGATACAGTGATAGGCTATAAGTGTCTGCAGACACGTGTTGTTTTTCTGCCCTTTCATATGTGTACGTACCCAGAGTGAAGAGAGCGCTCACGTGCCAGTGGCAAGTAGGAGCACCTCTGAATACCTGCATGACAAACACAATCTACGCTTATTGTATTTGGATGCCTTAAAGCTGAATAACTGTCTCCACTACTTTATTTCGAAAACTTTTTGCACAAATACAGTTCTTAGTGTAAACGTGTTTGAAGTGTTTTTTATTCACTCTTTTCAAGTGAAAGTCTTTCAAAGAGGCTGAGGACACCCAATCAAATGCATACGCTCCAATCTGACAAAGCCTTCGCAGCGGACCAGGTTTCCCCTTTCTTGAATGTTTATAAGACGAACCAGGTACTTCCGACAAGCCACCGAGGTCATTTCTATGTGTAATTCTTTAAAACGGAGTGAGGCCTTTAGCGTTGTCAGGTTAGGAAGTGTTGCATATATGAATGCTATTTTAGTCCACACAGAAATATGACAAAACACGTGATGCATCCTCAAATTTTATTGCCATTTTATGGCTCAAGATAAAAAAGCTGAAAAGGTAGAATAAAAATCTGTGATTATAATGACCATGTACTGAAAACTGATCAAAAACAGTATTGATCTTGAGATCATTTCCCTTGTTGAGTTACTTGAACACAAAGATCGATAATGATTGGTTGGCTGACATCAGGGGGACAATCAGATGGACGCCACTACCCCTCACAGGACAGGGTCGGGACAGGGGGAGGGCAGGCCACGCCCATAAAGGACGTGGTTTGTGATGTGCTTGCCCGCGTGTCAAAATTGCTCATACATATGCATTAGTAGTATGGCGTCGCCAGGGTTCTCGAAACACAAAGGACATTGTTAACGATCACCTATTGTATAATTAAAACTTGATACTGAGTTTGTTTTCGTCCCACAACCAGATATAGTATGTTTCCGGAATAGTCAGTAAAACTTACATATAGTGCAAATTAAACATAGTGACATGAGAAGACGGGATTGCACGTTCCATGACAACGAGTAGTGTATATTGGTTGATAACATTATTTCGTGAGCAAATTCTTGACGATTCTTCTATTCATCACAGGATCTCTAAAGAAGCTACTTTGCTGAAGATTGATGGTAGGTTAAACGCTGTGGGTGACAAGCGAACAACAGATTTGTGAGATGAAAAACACGTGATCTAGTCCGGGTCATCTTGTTAGGGGTAGTGGCGTCAGGAGGTAGATGAGGCTAACACTGTAACACGTTACTCATGACTACATGGCGATACTAGTCGCAAGACACATGACATGTAGCGTTACTAGTCACATGACATGTAGCGTTACTGGTCACAGGACACGTAGCAGTACTAGTCACAGGACACGTAGCGTTACTGGTCACATGACATGTGGCGTTACTGGTCACAAGACACGTAGCAGTACTAGTCACAGGACACGTAGCATTACCAGTCGCAGGACACGTAGCGTTACTTGTCACATGACATGTAGCGTTACTGGTCACATGACATGTAGCGTTACTGGTCACATGACACGTAGCAGTACTAGTCACATGACATGTAGCGTTACTGGTCACATGACATGTAGCGTTACTGGTCATATGACACGTAGCGTTATCAGTCATGTGACACGTGGCGTTACTAACTAGTCCAAAAGTGTCATTATGTTCACTACACACAGTGACTACATGACGTTTCCAGCAGCATGATACGTAATGACTGCGAGGCGTTATGAATAATACGATACACGGTGAGTTCACACCGTAACTAGCTGCATGACACGTGTAGTACCTAAAGACTTTACCAGTTACATGACACGTGTAGTACCTAAAGACTTTACCAGTTACATGACACGTGTAGTACCTAAAGACTTTAACAGTTACATGACGCGTAATGACTACATGTCGTTACTAGTATCAGAACAAGAAGTGACGTCATGGCGTTACTTTTCACATAACACGTAGAGCTACCAGTCGAGTAACACGTAGTTAGGGCAATGCGTGTCTAGTCGCATAAACCAAGTGTCGTCATGGTGTTTCTTGTCACATAAAACGTAACGCTACCATTCGAATGACACGTAGTGACGACATGGCGTTTCTAGTCTCATGATCAAAGTGACGTCATGGTGTTATATGACACGTGACATGATAAGTAGTGACGTCGTGTTTAACTACTAGATGCATGCTGACGTCACGTTAATTAATGACTTCATGGATCTATCTGATAAACATTCGAATTAATTACACCTGGTATTTCATGCCATCAACGTGCGATGACGAATGGAAATAAACCTCCTACGGGTCTCCATTCATAGCGTGTCACTTTGACCATGTGACATCACCAGACTAATAATAATGACAGATACATTTCTTTTCCGGATACAATTATTTTGCGTGGACAGATGTTGATAATAGCTTGAACGATCATCATATAGTCAGGAAAAGAAATTAACATATCTGCATTTGTAGTTAAAGCAATCAGTTACGCCTACAAGCACTGTCGGTGTTTCTAACATCTAGAAAAATGTAATGTACTACACTATGATAAGCTATGGACGTCTGTACAACATGGTGTAAATACTCCCAGTACGCAATAAGGAACACAAACAGTACTTCTTATATCTATAATTAAAACCTCTTTTTGTGTTCTTGAAATATAGAAATATTAAAAGAGCAACAGCTGGCTGTACGATACACAATATACACATATATATTGTGAAATTATTTTCCATTATTCCAAAAGGTTATTTTTATGGCATTGCTCGTTATGATTATAGGAAACAATCCACGTGACTTCCGGTTTAATGACGGATATGTTTTGTTCCTCGGTCCATAAAACACAAAACAGTTTTACATATATAACGCAAGTAAAAAGTTTTATCATTTGGCTGTGGTCAAATATCAAATCCTTATTAGATTGTGAGCGATTGAAAAGAACACAACAATAGGAATTGTTTACTGATACATGTTAAGTGAATCGTGTTGTTTCAGTTGATACATTTTTGGGTAATAATCGAATCACGCATAGACCTAAAACATGCCATTTATGATTCAAATTTGAAATATAACAAGATAACGAATTGTCCATTTGAGCGTCAAATAATATTTGTACAGAATAGACCATATCTTCGTATATACACTTAAATTGACAGTTATAACAATCAAGATTTCTGTACATACATCTATTAAATGATTGGTCAGGTTGAACCTTCATATACATAATAAAACATCAAATTCATGATATCTGCATAAATGGTTTGAAATTCTTATTAAATGGGGTCTTTAATGTCAGATTTTGGACATTGTGTTTTAGTCGTAACTCGGGAAGATTAAACTGCGTTGAAAACGACGACGTTATTGTGTCCCTATATGAGATGCGTCGTTGTTTATAAACTTTCTTGTTGACGGGCATGCTGCCATGCTACAAGAACCCTGCAAATACATCTCAACTAGGCCGGGCAGTGACACGGAGGCCTGACGCTGCATCATCTGATGAAGTTTCTGTCAGGGTGAAGGTTGTCTTTGACACAAGGAGATGACACGTGACAGATGACTGACCAATGAGCGATGAGTGAATAGATCCACGTGACCTTATCGATGGGTGCTATTGGGCGTAGAGGTCAGGGTGGTGGATTGTCCACCTTGGTCATGTGACATAGCTGCGCATGCTCAGTGAGGACAGCTAGTAATCTGGTCCGCTCTTTGCCAAGTTCGGAGATCTCTGACCGTAGGGTGTCGTTACTGGCTTCGAGACGATGAGTCTCCTGAAAGAGTGAGTGCGTAAGTGAGTGAGTGAGTTGGGTTTAACGCCACTTTAAACAGTATCTCAGTTATAACATGCCGTGTCAGCTTATTCTGGGGTAAAGTCCAAACTAAGACATGTTTAAGACGTTTACTAGGTGTGTGCCACATGTATGGTGCTGACGAACCAGGAATCCTACTCAGGGGAAATCTCGAATTCGACCCCACGATCAAATCATTCTTGACCTCTGGGCCACAGTGTGCCCAATCCTGAAAGATAGATGGTGACCTGTAACCACTAGTACTTTGAGACAAGTCGATGTCTCTAAGAGGAATCTACCGAACGAAATGTATTAACAAAACAACGTTATGCCAACATATGAACGATGCATACAAATGACGTCAGATTCGCTTGGGTAGTAAACACATAAATTCAGTCTAAGAAGTTTTACCTATGACAGACCGAAATACAATCTTCAAGAGCACTTCACCTGCCTAGACAACGTAACTTTAATTGTCATCAAAATTTATTACCCTTTACGAAAACAAACTTTTTCAAAAATAGATTAGAAAGATAATCTAATAACGAATAAACGAGCCTATCTTTGCAAACAATTTCGCATTTAGTTTTTTGTTGCTAAAACATCACGACAAGACTGTAAGTTTACCTGCATGAGAACGTCAGTTTTGTTTCTCTTCTTTTCCCGGAATTTGCGAGCCGCTCGCCTATTCTGCTCCCTGCGCCTGTCCAACTTGGCCACTTCCTCGGGGCGGGGCTGGAGAGAAACAAGGCGTAGTTGGACAGTGGCTTACTCCATCAGCGTTAATCACCATGTACTACTATACATTATGCTGTAGACAGTAACGGAAACAATACGATGGGATAACTGAACAAGCTTGAACATACGAATTTGGGCGTACCAAGGATATTCCGAAAGTCGTGATATTACAATCCTAATTTCCAAATGTAGAAAAATAAACTCTGAATAATAAAACCCTAATGTCTAAATATTAAAATAACGTAATCAGAATTTTAAAATCATAATATCTAAACATTAAAATCATAACATCCAAACATTACGATACTGGATCGTATACTTTCTTGTCGAAATATGTCAATTTTCCAGGAAATACCTTGACTGAAGCGAGACGTCAACGAGACTGAATGATCAAAATATTATCGAGAAACGAAAACTAAAGGCATTTTGATTTACAGTAGTCAATTGATGCGAACCAACATATTATAAATAATACGCACAAACCGACGTCATGACGGAATGATTGAAATACGCCTGAACGACGAAAACCAAAAACACTTATACTCAAACATCGCGAACAAATATCTGATACACAACAAGCGAATATTACTGCGTCACCAAGATAATATTTCTTCAATAATAGTTTTCGAATAGTCGAAAAATGGAGATTTCTTTTGAAAAAACTATATGATGAAGAAACAGATACATGTTATGACATAAATCATAAACAACAACAACCAAAAAGGTAAAATGTATGTAAAATAATGTTTTTTTAAAGACGATATTGTTATTGTTGGAAAGGCGAACAAGCCAAACATTGCTTGGGGTATATAGGTGTTTCCCCCATGGCTGGGTGTCGGGTGGGTGGCATTGCTAGCGCGCAGTGGGGCCGTCAGTCAGTACAGGCGTCGGACTTCAAGAAGCTTCCACCGATGCCAAATGTGTCACTGGATATATCAGATACGAGGGAAGCACCAGATTGTTTACTACAAGTTTGGAATTGCTACAAACAAGCTTGCCAAAAGGAGATTCCAGAAAACATGCCATTATTTTTTCATTACTCGCTCTGACTGATGTCGACGCATTTAAAAACCACTGACTAACTGCACTGGGTTTACCAGCGGGCGTTGCGTTGCGTGAGCTGTACAGCTATAGTAGGGGGTAATTGAAAAACACCAAGGGACCCTGCTTTTGCAATTTATATTCTAAGCTAACAGAAACTTAACCAAAGTAAACCTGAGCTCAAGGTTAAATACGACAAGAAAAAATGAAAATAGTTCTTAAGTCGTTTAAGATCATAAAATACGGGGTGTACAGAAAAGATAAAACTAGTATACTACCTAAAATATACTATGTTGAAAATAATCTCCTTAAGATCATAAAATACGGGGTGTACAGAAAAGATAAAACTAGTATACTGCCTAGAATATACTATGTTGAAAATAATAGTTATGATGTAATAATAATAATAATAATAATAATAATAATAATAATAATAATAATGTATCAAACGGTTTGACGGAATTGTAATTCACACCTACAATAATCCGTTTTGATGGTGACACTATCCCGATGCGTAGTAATACCGTTGAAAATGACGTACAACAATACGTCTGGCGCTCTGTCACATACAAAACGATTCTTTATCCAGTGCGCATAATACCACTCGATAACACAACAAAAGTTAAAGATGAATATTAAACATGTTATGTCATCCCATATGGTATGCATGTTGTCGATATAGCTAGGAGTTATTAAATCATTTTTAATCAATGCTAGACGAAGCTGGTGCAAATATGTCTATATACGCCAGTTGGGCTGTCTGGTTCGCTGGTTGCTATGCCGTGCATGCTAGTTATGTTGATGTTGGTATCGACTAGCGCGGGGCGGGGCTTATCTCGACATGAGGGTTGGCGAATATATATACTGCGTTGTTGCAAGGACTGAAACAAACGGATACCGAATTCTCACATAACACATTTATTTAGGTAGAATGTCCACCAGTTATTCCGATCGACACTGGTACGACCGTAATTACACATATATTAGTTAATCGTGGAAATTACATGAAAAAATAATAATCATATAGTTCCCTTACAGTTTATAAGAATATTATGTTAAGATGAATCGCAACGGTACACGATCAATAACAATATATGTATGTACATGCGTAATACAGGGAGATATTCATAAATATTTATGTTTTATTTAAATATTTTATGTTTTTAAAACACATTGATGCGACCTTTATGAAATAAAAGTCTGTGTGAGACCAAATCATTTCATAAATTCATTTGCACGGGTAAGGAACACATGTAAAAATATTATAATAATAATAATAATAATAATAATAATAATAATAATAATAATAATAATAATCGGATGCACTTTCTGAAGGTCTTACGAAACATGTAATGTGTTTTGACACAGCTGGTTGATAATGGTTGGAGTTGACATAACTCGTCAACGCAAAAGAATAATGAAAAATGAATGGGCGTAGAGTGCAAAATAGTGGTGAAAAATATACGAATGGATCAATAAAATCAGTGATGAAACCATGAAACCATGACTGAAGTCCTACTAATGAAACCATGGTTATTTTGCATAAAAAAAAGAAAAAGGGTTTGTTCAAATTGTAAATAAAGACTTTATTATAACGCACCATTATTTATTGCATTGGGTGTTAAGATGTTGCTGATATGGTTGAAACATTGCTAAAGGGGAAGTACAGACTACACAAGATAACACGGTGTAGGTTTAAAACAGAGGAAATAGCAAGTGGCCACTTCCTCTACTGTAAGGCTGATGTTTGGGCTAAGCTGCACTACACGTGCAATATGCAATATCTCCTTTATTTAATAACGTCTTATTGATAAAGGACACATTTCGTTAATTTAACAGACATAAGAAAGCATCAGTGTACACATGTTTTATCAAAATGCGGTTGATCAACTAATATATCTTATATTTTATTCAGCATAAAGGATATATTACATAACCGTTTGTGAACATTATCCTATATATCCTACATATATTATGAATATTTAAGCAACTAAGGGCTAAGATAAAATCTAAGTCAATGTGTCACCGATTTAGAAGACTTCTCCTATCAATTATCGAAAATACCATCTATAATACATCATTTCAAGTTAGACAGACACAGAATTCTATATTAACAGTGAAATGAAAGCGAGGTATTGCAGGTGTATACTTGATTATAGTTTAAGAATCATAATTCTTATGTGTCTGTAATTACTTTAGTGATTGTTAAACACCACACCATCATCATCATCATCATCATCATCATCATGTTTTACTGTTCTAGGAAACCTCTCTCGGTGCTGCATGTTTTCTCTAGACACATCAGCGACATCTATGCTGGGATCTCGTGTACAGCACAAGAATGTATGTCGAGTTCTGGGAGTCTAGAGAAGCACATTTCACATCAATAATTTTAATAAACATCTCAGATTGGATTTACCGTTTTTAAATTCCTCAGCGGTACTACTTTCCATGGAGAATACTACATACAGCATCTTCCCAAAATGAATAATGTGTTTGTGCTTCCCATCACCAAAGTGAGGACGATCAGCGGTTTCGAAATAAGTATGCGCCCTCCAAAACTCCACGTTCAGCAGTGTCCTCGCGGGACATAGCGGTTCGCCCCGATTATGTTTCTAGGTTTGTCAGCACCATACCCGTGCTCGTGGGTTTCACCGAAGTGGTAAACGTCTGAGACCTGCATCACTTCGGGCTTTCCTCCCACATTAAGCTGACACGCCGCGATATAACTGGAATACTGTTAAAAGCGGCGTTAAACCCAATTCACTCACTCACTCACTCGCGGGACATAGGGATATAGTGCAAGTTGAAGCTTCTAAAGGCAACAGATGACACATAATTATTGCCATTTGATGGACTACCTCCAGAGGTGACAGATGACGTAGGATCTTTCCCTCTTTTGAGGCCTTTAACTGTTTTCACACATTTGGGGACATGAAATAGTTAACTTGTAACGTGATGATAGGGAATTGTCTCACGGCTTCGCCAGTTAGTTTCCTCGGTTATTTTCATTCCCCGAAAAGTATTTTCTTCGTGATCTTTTTCCATTAATTTACAGTTCCAATTTGAGTAGGAACATAATAAAATTAAAACAATTACACCGCTATAAGGCTGATATTAAACACATTTTTTTGTAAATTGTCTGATACTCGCAGTTCTTGAATGCATGAATGTTTAGCGTACTATTACAGAACACACGCACTATATTTTATTAGTTAACTTTTAGCTCTCGCTGTAGTCAACTAGTCCCTCTCCCGGATCCGGGGTATGGATGCGACATAAAGCTAGATTTTTTTCCGCTGTGATATGATATTTATTTAACCTTTTTTATTATCGCTTTATTATAAACGAAAATTTCAAAAAGCGTCATACGAATCTTGCTCAGAAATTGTTTGATCAAGGTTACAAAATTCAAAGCCTCAGTCAAGCCTTTAATTTGTTTATTATAGACATGTAGTGGACGTCTCTAAATTTGACGCATCACTGACCAATATGATGTCCAGTACCATATGTTCCCTTGTCTTCTCAGGTGAACAATTGACTTTCCTTTGGATGTGTTTGTGATATAGGTGGGGACAGGATACGCTCACCTTTTTGCGAACATCTGGTATCGCCACTATTTGGTAATGGTTCATAAACACATGCTCATGATACAGTCGGAACTGTACAATCGAGCTTTCAACAGAGATTCTCCTCATTATAGAAAGGGTTTTTTCGCTTTTATTTATACGGAGACCCTGATTGTGCTGACAAGTGGACCGAATACCTATTTCCATATGCAAAAAATATTTTAGCGTTCCTATCATCTGAGTCAAGCTTTCCTATCACATGAACAGCAAACCATGTCAGTCTTAACAGCGTGTTTATCCCGCTGTGCGTACAAACACAGGTGGTGGTATAATTTAAATCAAATCCTGACGATGAAAAGACACAACATTGCACATTGTGTGATTATT